ACTACATTATTTGTGCTCCTCAAATGTCAAGTGTTTTACTTTGGTGGTGTCCCAGGAAATTATTAAAACTGAAGCCCTTCAGCCTGCACTAGGACTACAAAACCAAAATCGACTAAATCCCCAGAGAAAGATGGAAGAGAAATACCCAGCTGACAATCAATCCTACTGCTTCCTGACCATCCGAGAATACCGATCAAATACGTAAAACAAATACCTGCTCACATACTGCCCCCACTCATTCATCGCTGAATAATTTGCAATAATGGTTATCCTCACTGTGGACAAGCAGAGCAATTTCCAGATCAGCAGTGAAGAACACAGGCATGCAGAGGAAGACGTTTCCAACTGAACAAAGCTGAATTCCATTCTGTAAGATGCAGATCTTTATGCTTCTTAAATATAAGATTTAGTTAGAATTTTAAGAACACAGCAACTAACTCTTAGAGTCACCTTTCCCCTAATCATGCTTTCTCTCTGCTCCAGAATCACCAGCACCCCTTGGGAAGTACTAAGGCCAAGATGTTCATGTTATGATCCATGAAGAATTTCAGACCAACTTATTCTTTACTTCTTAAGGCCAAATACATATTTTGCATTAACATGGAAACAACTGCTGAGTATTCATTTATCTGTAAAAAGTCCATGATGCCTGCAAATTCATGTTCACTGAATTTCATCAGACATACTACACAAATGTACCCCCATAACCTCTCAGCATGTTAAGCAGTGAAATAGTCAACCTTAATTTGTTATACTGGACACAGCTCATTGTTCTCAGCTTCCAAAACAAGTCAGCACCAGTTTGATGTGGGAGTTGTGGGAGCATAAAGAATTGATCCAACTCTGAACTAGATCTTGTTTTGGAAAAAAAAAAAAGCCAACAAAGCAAATGCCAACAAAGGACTCAGTCGATCAACCAACCACAAATAGATTATTTCATTCATAATCTACAATTATCTTATAGATTTTAAAAGGTTCCAGAAAACATCTGGAATGCTACAGCGAAATGAGAGGAAGGGGGGTGTAGACAAAAAAAAAACAACAAAAAAACAACAAAACAAAATAAACCAAAGATATTTCAGTCAGCATAGCAAAACATGCAAAATTTACAGCCACTGTGTGGGAACAAACCACAGACAAGCATTTGTGATAAGTAAAACAGAGCAATATTAAATTAAGTCAAAGCCTTGCCTTGTATTATTGACCATCTGTACTTTTAACCACACAATAAAGTACAAATCCCAATAGCTCTTCATTATGAACCCAAATAAATTTCATTATTGACTTCTATATTGGGCAATTCTATTTTATTTCTAAGTAAAGAAACATCTGCCACATCCATAATGGGCTATTTTTTCTCAAGGAACACTGACCAGAATTCAAAGTGAAATAATACAGATACTGATTATGTTAAGAATGCCTTGTGCACTTTAGATAACATCAGAATACTGAGATATTCCCTCAGCCCTAACGCAGCAGCAAGGACACATAATTAACCAATGCAGTTCATAACTAAAATTAACTACATTCACTATAAACTTTCCTGCAAGTTTGCTGATGTTAGTCAGCAGTCACAGAATAAAAAGCTAGTCAGAATGGAAAAGCACACCAGATTAAGGTCCAAAGTTAGGCTGGAGAGAGCCCAGAAGTCTATAAGGAAATAGGATTTTAGTTTCATTTTTTTGCTGTTGTTGGTTGTTTGGGTTTTTTTTTTTGCTTCCAGTTTATTAAAATCAAACTAAATAAAACCACTAAACATAAAAATTCCATCATTTTCTATTAATTCCCAGACCAATAATGTATGTGATAGAAATATGCAACAACAGGGGTAGAAATCAATTTTGTTATTTTACTTATTTATATAGCAGTAAAAAACCCTGAAGGTTTCCAGCAAGACTGGCTTCCTTTCCCCCGGCAAGTGACCAGATAATTCAGTTTAATGAACTCATGCAGCTACTTTTATTTTTCTGAATTTTTAAAGAATGTATCCTAGTTCTCCTCCTTATCACTTAGATGATCCTATACATGTATAAAAAAATAATCAAATACTCATCATTTTCTCAAAGGGAAAGTAATTTAATTTGAACAGTCTCAGATTTCTCTACTTAACATCTTCTCACAGGTTTTCCAGAATTTTTCTTGAATTCAGAAAAACATTTCCATCGTCATGACATGCAGTGGGGCAAAAGCAAACAATCAGACAAGTCACCTGAGCTATCTACAACTGCCTCATGGACAAGGATGGTCCTGCCAATCTCATCTGCTCATGTCTCCAAGTTTCCATTTCCTGCTTTAACATCAGCTCTACCACTTGTCTAGTGCTTAAACAAGCCTCTTCAGCTCATTAAACCAGCAAAAATGCACCCAATCCAGAAACAAACAAAAAATGACCAACCAACCAACCTCCCAAACAACCAAACAAAAACACCTACATGAGCAGATCTCTAACAGCTTGCAGGCTGCAGTTTCGCAGCAACCTAAGCCAAACTAACTCCTCACTGGCATAGTCTCTTACCTCCCTCCGGCTGCATGTTCCTACTCTTTCCCTTGTGCCAGCTTCAACATTCATCACAACCCCTACAAAACCATTCCAGACAGCTGAATCAGCAGACTCCCATCCACTGAAGAGGACAAGAAAAATGGTTCTCAGCTCAGCCAATGCACCAGAACAGGTTGGTGCAGGTTCCAGTGAGCACAAGGGCTCCAAGCGAGCCCTCAGCAGCTACTGGGTAGATCAGCCCAGGCTGCCACCAAACCACAACTTTGGCAACTCCACTCACCAGCAGGTCGGGCAAGCAGCGGAGCTGACACACGGAAAAGAACAGAAGTGAACATCCACAGAAGAGATCACACCTCCAGCAGCAAAAAGCTGTTAGATTAGTTTAGCTGGCTTCATCCTACAGTATGTGGCGTAGCACAACTGTGACTAGCTTCGAGGGAAAATACTACTTCTTTGTTCCATAGTTTCCTGTGTTCTAGTCCTCCAATAAAATATCGCTAATTACATGTCTGAGTGTTTAGTAAGACAGAAGCATTTGTGAACTTTCACCTTTCAACTACTACTTTGTATACACGCCTTATATGTGCAGGACAAAGGTGAACAACTGCCCTTATGCACTTGCGTGCATAAGCTGCACATACAGGAAATTTAAATTGCTCATGTTCACAATTAGTTTAACAGACTGAAATGCTTAAATTGACTGTCTGCAAAGATGCAACTACAACATTTTTTAGACCCTGCAAAAATATCCAGCAGGCTTATTTAACACCTATTTTACATTACCATTTTGGTAGTGTAACTGCATATTACATGCAAAAACAAAAAATACCAACCCCACTTATTTTCAATAGGCTTATAAATAAAGGCGTAAGAGAATTTTCAAATATGGGAAGAACAGCAAACTCATCCACTTTGGGTGATACTCTTCACAGTTGCCTTAAGAAAGCTCTGCTGGGAATCTTCATGTGGCATGAAGATTCTGTTTTCGACTGTAGAGTCTTGCGAACAGATGGAAAGAAGGCGAGACAGCTAAAGCAGAATGCCATTCATTCACACATACTTTACGCTACTAATGTAAACAGTGCCTGGCCCATTTCAAAGAGGGATTGTCAGGACAAGGTAATAATAAAAGTTTAAAAAAAAGAACACAGGTAATAATAAAAGGTAATAATAATAAGGTAATAATAAAAGGTAATAATAAAAGTTTTAAAAAAGTAATAATAAAAGTTTAAAAAAAAGGACACAGGTCCTTTATTACTGATAATAGCATTGTGCTAAAGACAAACCATGAGAACAAGGTTTGCTCTACAAGAATGCAGCAAAGTTTATATATACATATATATATAAAAGCAGCAGAACCAATTGCATGTTTTCCGCTAATAAAAATCTCCAGAAGAAGTACCTTTAAAACCCAGACATTGTGACTAGCAGCGTGAACATTCAGCTATTGAGGAAACCATTCAGGAACCAACACTTGTTTTTTTGCACCCTTTCACCTAGAGAAGGCAAAACCCTGCACACATGCCAAGCCACAATGGTCTCAACAGGCTCCTGCTAATCCTGCACCTGCCCAGCTATCCAGTGCCATGTGCAGGGTCACTGGAAGCCACAGAGCCTGCCTGTCCCGAGTTGTCCCCCCGAGTCCCTGAAATTGCTGTGGTTTTGTCATCTACAAAGGAATACTCATGAATTGTATCAGCGGCTATATCATTAAGGTTGTATCAGAATTAGACAAAATTGGAATATTTGGAATTCAACTTTAAATACACGGTGTGGCTGACATTTTCACTGGAAATGGCCCTTATGAAAACGATTTATTCTGGGGGGAATTTTTTGCTGACAGAAAAAGAAATGCTTACATTCACACCCGAGTGACTACAGGAAGGTGATACATGTGCTGCCCCTCGGTTAACAATGATATCTGAATTATATACTATCAACTGCTGCCAGGGTCCACTGGATTTCAGCATTTCAAATAAATGCTTGTTGTGACCTTCTAGTCTCTCTATAAAGACATTACTTGCTCCCAAGCTTCTATCTCCATGCCTTTTCACGTACACGGATTCTTGTCTTCTGTTTGCAAGGCCTGCTGTCTATATCTACATGAAGATGGTTACATGTGGTCAACTTTGACATCTAGACGTTCCTCCTCTTGGTACTCCCAAGAAAAATCGGTATTTTATTTCCTTAAGTGGCATCTTAAGCATCTGGATTTATCTCTGGTGGTCAGCGCACGTCCGTGTCAGCATCAGCTCAGAGAAGGCAGGGGCTCTAGGGCTGACTTTCCGGGAGGAGAGCCCGCGGGGTACGGACCACACCGGCCCATAGCTCGGCTGCACCTGAGCTGAGGTGACCGCGGGTGAAGCCGCCCGGGTCGGCACACACTGGGGCGGCACCTCCAACACCACCCAGTCCCTTGCAGGGTCTCAGAGCCGGCGACCGGGCCAGGGCTGGCCCAAAACAAGAGACGCCACGGCCCGCCGCGCCCCCCGCCCCTCACCTGCCGCCGAGCTCAGGGCGACCCTCCGGTGCCTCCGGCCGAGCTCCCGCAGCTCCTCCTCGTCCTCCTCCAGCCTCCAGGCTTCAGCCATCGGCGGCAGGGGGGCGGCTGACAGCATTCAAGAAGCGGGGGCTGCCATGTCCGTTCCCCTCAGCACTGCCGCCCGGGCCTGCCCCGCACCTGCGCCCTCTCCGCCCGCTTCTCCTGGCGGGCTTTCAGCGCGGCCCGCTCCGCGCTTCTACCGGCGTAGCGAGCGGGGGCCGAGGCAGGAGCCAGCGGGCTGGAGCAGAGGCGGCGGGGGCAGCCTTTCCTGCCCATCCGCGGCTCTCCAGCGTCAGCAGGAAACCCGGCGGCCGCCCGGCACCGCCACAAAAGGGGGCGGAGGAGGCGGTGGCGGGGGGAGGTACCTGGCGGCCGCCGCCGGGCAGCGCTCCGCCGCGGCGGGCACCTCGAGGCAGCCCCGGAGGCCGGGCCGGGCTGGGCTTCGGGAGGGTTTGTCATGGCCGATGCTAGCTGGGGAGCGTTTGAACCCGAGCACCCTGTGCTAAGGGGTAACACGGGGTTGAGGCGAGGGGACAGGAGATGTTCCTCCCCTAGGGGCGAGGGGAAGGGGGTGGCCGCAGCCCGGCCCTGACGAGCCGGGCACTGGGTGGCCCATAGGCTGATGAAGGCAGGCGTTCAAACGGCGGCCGGCAACGCTTCGCGGCCAGGAGGATGTATTTCTTGGCTTGGGGTTGGTTAGGGTGGTTTAAACCACTTAAGGAGAAGTAATCTTACGGACACACTTGAAACGGTTGAGGTACACACTTCCAGCACAGAAGCGATAGGAAAAATCTGGCCACGTTTCAAGGTGGACAGTTAGAAGTCAGGTGTAGTTCTAGTTTTAACCTTCATCTATTTATTTTCTGGGCCTCAATTGGTCATACCTAAAATTGAAGTTATATTGCTTCTTCAAATCGTACAGTTACTGTAAAACCAAGTCCTAAATGCTTTTACAGATGACTTTATATTCGGCACCACTAAAAAAAGCATATAAGGAAGTTAAATTCAGAGGCAATTTTGAAGCAAGTGAATAAGGTGCAGTAAATCAGTATGTGGCCACAAATTAGACCAGAAAGATACAACAAAACATTGAGTAATCCTTATGTTGAGCGATATCTGTGCTGACTCACTAAGCACCCTCTGGTCTGTATAGTGAATAAAGCAGATTGTGCAGGTTGAAAATAAAAGTATGTGATCACAAAACTGAAAATATATCATACAAATGATTGCCTATGCATTTCTTAATGTTTCACATGTTGTGAAACGTGCTTGTCAATGTGCTTTACTTTACAATAATTGATCCTTAACAGATGTTTTTTCCACTGGAAGGTTTAGTGTTCAAGTGGTATAATAGTTCCACTTTGAAGTACATAAGACTTTATAGTATAAAAGGACATAAGGCCAGGCAAAAAACTGGATGTACAGCAGGTATGCATTTTCAGAAGCGTCATGCTTCAGATGGGTGCATTGCATGGCAGCCAAAGATTTCACCTCACAAACTTCAATGCAAGATCAGCATTCTCTGTATATGATCTAAGCTGTATACAAAGTTCCTCAGTGAAGCAGTGCTGCCACAGATAAGCTCCATGGCTGTGTCACAAAGCCTCACCTGTACTGAGAAACACATAAAGGTATCTCCAATGCGGAAAGTATGAGGAAGAATAGCAAAAGAGAGGGAAGTCACTGGTATGTGCATGTGTGAGAGACAAAAGAGAACCTCCTTGTAAAACAAACAATATGTGTTGTGTTCTGGTTCTTCCCTGTAGAGCCAAAATACAGCACCTGTGTTCAGTTCCTAAACTCCACTAACCACAAAGAGCAACAAGGACCGTCCATTTCCCACTTCAGAATATCTCCTTTTTTTATACTATGTGTTTCACTACTGCTGGGTGGGGGGAAGGAAAGGAAGCTTGCTATCATGTAAAATTACAAAGGAAGGAAAAACCAAAAATATACCATAGAATATAACACAAATTCAAAGAGCCCAGAAAATTGAATTAAACCTTCTTTTGTTGCTGAAATTAATACAGCAAGGTATCCAAGCATATAAAACTGAAAAATACTTTTGGAGAGATCCTAGGCCTAAGAAAAACATGTCAAACAGAGTAGTTCCAGCTATGGGTAAGAAAACATTCCCCAAAATATCAAATAATACAGTATAGAAGGATCATAAGTATTTAATGTTGACAATCATCAAGAGTTCTTCAGTGTTCACAGGGAAAGTCATACTTAGTAATGAATATATCAAGTGATGAAGTCTCTGGCAATATACTGAGCTCTGCCAGTAGGAAATGCAGCTGGGACAGGGACAGAGTTTTAGAGCTAGAGGAGCCATTCAAGAAATGCATGGAACTGATTGAAGACAGGTTTCAAGAAAGGAAGAGATCAAACTGAGAAAGGAAAGAGGAAGAGATTAAACTAAGATAAAATCTGTATGTGGATACAAGATTCAGGTAGCAATAACCGACGTACTACAGTAAACAGTACTGTAAAGTGTTTTTCAGTACTACTGGAAACAAGTAAAAATTCCCAGCATTTAAATGGAATTCAAGTGCAAGGCAGCACTGCATGAGATACTTGATTCATATTTCTGAAACATTTTTTTGCAAAAAACATTCAATAATGAGCACTACCTCCAAAAGGAATTTGCTTACCAGTAGCTTGAATTCTTCAGGGTATGTTTTCTGTAGGTGTATTTATGTTGCCTGTATACAAATGCCACAAGCATTCAAGCTCAGAGGTGGTTTTTAGGGTTTAAATGCCTGCAGAACAAGCGTATGTAGGGTAATATACAGGAATGTGCAAGACAGTATATTCACATACTCTTCACTTCTCCCAGTTGCAAAATCTGCTAATATGTAACTCTAAAGGATAGAGGGTGAATGTCTAGAGCTCCATTTCTTACAAGTAATTCTCTTCTAGTGAGTACTTGCCAGATGCACTCATCTATACACTGACTGAGCTGTGACTCACTTGTAGTTTATGTTGGTATTTTCAAGTGATAAACAGCTTTAGGGTTTCCTATCAAATACAACAATACATTTCTTTATCAGGCTTGATACCTGATAAAGGTGTGTAAATAATGGAGGTACCTAGGAAGGAGGTAGGCTTTCACAAGTCTGCAGGAGCTAGATGGATGGGACTCTGTCAGAATGCTCCTGAGCAGCAACGGCAGATCTACTTCAGCAGTCTTGGAACAGATCCTGACACAGCCCTTTATCTGGGTAAGCAGTTTCTAGAGGGAGGAGAGTGCTGTGCTTTTGGGTCTTGAGACAAGCAACAAAACCAGCTGGTGAAAGAATCAAAAGAGCCACAGTTGCTGGCTGGTCTAATAATAGCATAGGCCAGACAGTGTAATTTGTGATAATTTGGCTCAGATTGGAACACACACACGAAAAGACTTCTGCTGGTTTGCTGGGCCCAGGGGAAGAAGGAAACAAAGAGGAGGGAGGGATGGATTGGACCCAGCAATTTGAAGTGCAGCAGGAATTAAAGCCATGTGGGAAATTCTCTCCAGAGAGTCAAGGAATGAATCTCCTCTATTCCTTTTTAGTGAATAAACTGATAGAAATTATAAAACAGAAGTAGAAGGGGAAGAAAAAGTGCACACAGGAGCAAGCTGCAAAAGTTTTATAAAAAAGACAAAAAAGCAGCAGAGCACTTGCTGTAGTCTCAGGTAGTTAAGAGGAACACATCAGCATGTGGCATATGCTGCTTTAAAGCCCTTCATGAACTACAATGTATTTGTGTCTTACAAGCAGGGTAAAATAATTGCATTCTTGTACTTTAGTGAGAATCTCTGCTGCATACTGTGCGTAGGAATAAAAAGACTTTTGTATATTTTCATAGCTACACTTCTCCAAGAAAACAAACCTTATATCTCAGAAAGTCTGCAATTTGGTTGTTAAAATCTGGAAATTGCTCACTCAAATCCTACTTTATCATATTTTCTGTACTGTATATACTTGGACTTTCACAGTGGTAGAGTAAAAGAAAGAAACAATTGGGTAAATGGGTCTTTGAACTCTCTGCTGAATGCTTACAATTAGTCACCTTGGCAGTTATTATTTTTTAAGTATTTTGTTCTGACTTGCATCCCTGGATTTGCCACTTTGTTTGGCCCTGCAAAAAGACACTGTTTTTCAACAAAAAATACCAGCTCTATAGAACTGCTTAATTGAAATCGCCCGTGTAGTCTCAATGTCTATTCAGGTTCTGCAAAGCGGCTGAAGCCTGCAATGAATGTATCAGTGTTTGGCTGAGATACAGGAGCCTCAGACCACAAAAGAATGCGGACAAAGGATTTTTTTAAAATGCAAAGGATGAAAAAGAGTGTTTTCAAAAGGGAAAATGTAGCCTTTGGACATGACAACATTATTTTTGTTCTGAGTAAAAATAACATGGGTCTCGTTCAACAGATGAATGACGTTGGCAATATAGCCAGCATAGGAAGCTGACATTGCTGAGGGCCAAGATCTGATAATCTGATCTCCATTTGTGTTCTGCTGGTCCAATGGGTTTTAGTGTAGCTGGAGAATGACGTATCAGGAGCCTGCAGGCTTCCTCAAATGTCTCCAGCTAAGTGCAGGTCCTTCTTGCACTGTTGCAACCGCTTGTGTATTCCAGCGTATCAGCATGATGACAGTCTAACGGCAGATAGCTTTATGATGAGTGAAGATGATTAGAGGATTATTGATTTCATTGAATAAAGACCTCCTTATTGAAACACTGGGAAATTACCTTAAGCAAAACTGGGGATTTTGAGACTGCTCTCAAGAAATGAGAAGGATGTCTGCCTGAAAGCAGCAAATCCAATAACTTCAAAAGACCAAAAATTGGCAGACGAGTGGGGAACGCCTTTTCAGGGGAGATTCTTACAGTTGTTAATTTTTAATATTAACAAATACCAATAATAAAACCCAATAATAATATCAAATAATTTTGGTTACTTTTTCTGTGTTCCCACTTTTGGTGATTAAAAGCACCCTTTTCTCTCCTGCCGTGTTAACAAACATCTCCTACTAGTATTTTTCTCTATAGTTAGTATTATCACTCACAGGTTAATAAATATTCTCAGCCTTCATGATTAAAGAAAATAAGGAAAAGAAATAGAAAAACTGTGCGGAAATATGGAAAGGAGCAGAGCTGGTTCAGAGGTAAACGCTTCTTAGAAAGAGAGGCTGTCAAGTCTAAATTGATTCGTAGTTTGACTCCTGAAGTATTCACCTTTACTCTATAACCAGAGAATTAACAGCAGACAGTGTTCATGTTGTGCTAAGTGAGCTGGCAACAGCATGGTTTAAGAAGTATTATCATATTAGACACACATGAATCTAATACCTAGGAACATACAATGCCAGCCCCTGGATGAGAGTCAAGCGTTTCTGCTGCAGTTTGTACTTCAGTGTAAAAAGCTGACAAAGGAAAAACTCACAGAAGACAGCAAACACAGTCCTAAAGAATCTTTAAAAGGTGAAGCGGGGTCATGAATTTGTCTGTTGCAGTACATTTAGAAGTTTCTCACAGTACTGAAATTGGTTACAGATAGGAGTAGCTCTGATTCTTCCTTTTGTTCTTCTGCCATGAAATGCACATCAACTGCCTTTCACTGGAAATATATATGACATATAGGTGGATAATCTTCACAGTTCAATACAAAGATTTGCAGTCTCCTGGGTTTTTTTCTGGTTTGGTTGGTTGGTTTGGTTAGAGTTTTTTTAACCCATGGTACCACCTGTGAGCATTCAGGCATTTCGTCATGTTTTTCTTATGCTGAACACTGACACAGTTCACATTTACCTGAAGTGTTCACAAAGGTATGTTAATATTCATCAGTAGGATAATTCTGCAATTACATATTTTTATAATAATTACTATTTTGTGATTCAGTGCTGAAAAGTTTAATGAGGTTGTAACATGCTACTTTAATATGTGTTTCTAATAGAAGAACACTTTACTAATGTGAAAGTTTTTCAAAATAGACTATTAAAAAGACTACTGTGAGTTTCCAACTTTAAAAACAAATATTTTGATCACTTACAGACATTATTTTTCAGTCATACATACAACAACACACAGCTTCTTAAAACATTTTTTTTTTTTTTTATAAAAGCTGAAGAATGGAATAACAGTTTGAGAGCTTTGATTGAGTTCTTGGCTAGGACCCTTGACAAATTTTGGATGGTACCTGCTTATTTTAAGCCAAACAGCCAAACGTGATGCAAGATATAGCACTGTTTCCCAGACATTCATTTTTCAATTTATCTGTTCAGAAGGGAGGGCCTGCATACCTCAGGAGCAATTAAGGGAAAAATAAAAATAGTCCTACATGATAGCATCAGTCCTGTCTCTTTCAATTTTACACAACTTGCACTCTAATCACCAAGTGTCAATAGAAGAATAGATGATGACAAGCATTCTCATCATCAGCGCCTCCATACTGGCTTTAAAGAGGCTTGAGGCTTGACATCAACATTCACGGTTGTAAGAACCTATTTTGCTAGGCTTTTAGAGGTCCTGTACTCCAGTTATACCAACTTATTTAAACAACTGTAGTTTCTGAGCTGACAACTCCAGAGGAATCAAGGAGATACCTACACTATTTACATAGATGAAAAATTGAGCTGCAGAACTATTCTTTTTTTCTGACTCTTACTAATAGTTTCATGTTACTTATATATTGCTACTACAAAACACTGGTGGTTTTAGTGTCAATGACCTCTTGCTAAGCTCTTTGATGCTTAGTTTTGTTAGCAATAGTCCAACAATGGAGGCCTTATCCTGTTATTTTACCTCATTATTGTTTTGCATATGCACATTCAATGGGTTCAGATTTTTTATTTCCATATTCACCAACTCTAATCATAGGATTGCATCATTCAAAAGAAAAAGATTCATGTGATTAAAAAATACAAAGTTGAAGTTTAGAACATGATGTCACAACAGTAACCAAATTTACTCTGTTTCAGTTATGTAAGTGAAAACCAAGTGTCTGCCCAAGTCTGGAGCTCCCAGTGAGGTCTGGACTGATGAAGCAGGTACTGCTGGGAAAATCCTGGGTTGGATGAACAGTTTCTCACAGAAAACTCACACCTTACATCAGAGCTTTGCACTAGCCAGTTTTTGAGTGAGATCTGTAAACAACAGTTCTCAGCTGAAAACTGAAGCAACTCAGGTTTTCCATGAGGCATGATTTTTGAAACCTTTTTAGACTTCTCTCACATCTTTTCTGTAGCACTGTATGTCACCACAGTCTCTTCTACTCTTCCCTGATGCATGCATGTTGTAACTTCTCTAGCCTACCCTAAACCTCTGCTTCCTCAGACTGCAGCTACTTATACTGTTTATTCTTCACAATGTTTATTCCTTTCCCAAGAAAGAAACTGCACTCTTTCCTCACAGAGAAACAGCCCATTCAGTTCAAATCTTACAGCTGCTTTTTGCAATTTCATTAGCTCAAAGGAAATACCACATTCTTCAAGGAGCTGCTAAGCAGAAAGCTTTAGGAGTGTGGAAAGCATGAGAGAAAAGCCTGGGTAGCATTTACTGGGGTTTTACAACATGGAAGGAGGTGTGGGCTATTCCTGCTTTCTCTGAAAAAGCTTTGCTCCAATTTACACATGTTTTTGTTGTTTCCAGGGCAGGAAGTAGCATCCTGGAATTAGTAGGGCAAAAAGGATTCCAGACACACTCACCTGTGCTTTCTACACTCTTTCTGGTTGTTCCCATTGAGTAACTAAATTATCTTTACAGACAAAAGCTCCTAAATGCTTATCTCAGGTTAACTTTATCATCCAGGAATTACTTCACAGAAAGAAATCTACTATATCTACTGTGAACTCCTGGACTCCTATCTAAATGCCAGAAGTTGTTTAAAGGATCTCTACAGTGTTCAATTCCCGATCAGTAAGAGTTCAATGGTCTGGAAAATAAGGAAGAGAGTGTCAGAATCAGTTTATGGGATGTTTTCACAAAAGCTGGGTGTTCAGCACTGCGCTGAAGCAAGGAACAACCTATCAGTGCTGAAGCAGCTCTCACAGACAACTTTATTCCACAAAACCTTCAGGGTTGTAACACAGCCTTTATATTCTGAAAATCGATGGATGTGGTCATGCCCCAGATTTGCACCTAGATAACAACTTCAGACTTCCTCCAGCTGAACAGAAAACAAGTGAGATGTTCAGATTTAATTAAAAGCATAATTAAAACAGGTTTTGATCCAGAATTCAGCTATGAAATCTACATACATGCCTCCTTTGCCCAGATTGGAGGAGTGCATATAAAGGAGGTAGGTTTGAATTACTCTCTTCTCTGCATCGCATCTGTGCAGCAACCATGGAGTTTTCTTCTGTTGATAGCTCTTGTGAACACAATTATTATTGGTGAAGCAATGATTAAAGACTGAGAATGGAATGCAAAAATTTGCAAAAGGAGAATGAAAAATATGCAGATAAAACCTTAGTCCCATCTCACAGAATTACAGGACATACAACCTTGTAAGGGGATTAATATGGGTTTATCATCCAGTCCCAGGGCAAGACATTAGGAATGGTCACAGCCAAAGGAAAATATATATTGAGAATTTCTGGAGTAAATTGTCTCTTGTTTTACTCTGGTGCTTACACTGGCTGAATGTTGATATACTGCTGCAGCACTAGGGCTCATCTGTCTTTGGATTAGCACTAAAGGAAACGCATTAGGTTGACAGTTGTAAGTGAGCCTTGAGCTTTTTATTTTTTATTCAGCTGGTTAGGCGTGCAGGTCACGTTGCAGCCTCATTAGTGAATAGTGGCAACTTAAGTCTGGTTATTAATTCTTCAGCTTGCAAACTGTTAGCAACTGAAGCCCAATAATATTGACATACTGTTGGCTGAACCAGAGATTTCTGAGTCTAGCAGGACTTTTCTTTTTGTTTCTTGATGAAAAATGTCTTGTTGAAAAAAAAAACCCAACGTTACTGCTTAGCACTCGACAGGTTCACATGTGCTAACATTTCACCTGGTGTGTTAACAACTGGAAAAGTGACATGCTTGAGTGTTTCCATTCTGATTCTTGTTTTGGTATTTGTTCAAGGATTCTGAAAATTTACAGGCCTGATTTTTCTCTGGAGAGTTTTAAAACAGATTTAGTGAATGAAAACACTTAAATTACACTTCCTGTTTTCCCTAGGAAGTGAATTTTTTGCCTGAATGTAATGGTTCTTGCTAACTTAAAATACCAAAATATCTTGTATTTGCAGGATGTAATCTCCATCTTATTTGCTCTGAAATACTTTTACATACTTAGTCTTCTACTAGCAGAAGTATTGTATTCATTCTGTGTCACTATCAGACCAAAACTTTCAGGGACAGCCATAAATTTTCATGATTTCCTAATGTATGACAAAAATTACCTACAAAAGGGGCATGAGAGATGGAAAATCATCACTGTTAAGATGTTCCTGATATGCTAGTGATCACAGTACCCTGGCATTTTAATGAAATTAACTGAAGCCTAATTCAATTCATACACTTTTTTTTCATCCTTGTAATTACCGTAACACGACTTTTATTTGTGTGACACATTTACATGTGTCTGTGTATACGTGATTGTTCCGGAGTTCGAGGATTCCGGGTTGAGAGAAATGCAACACAATAAAGAATCATAACTAGTTTATTAATACAGGGAAAATATAGTGGTAACAAAAGATACAGTAAAGGATATCTCTGAAGTTTGGTTATCTTAGCAACCCCAAGGACCATGTAATGACGATCAGAAACCAGGTCCAAGAAACATCATCACAGTGCGAGGTGGCGGCTCAACCTTAGCGGGCATCCCCATGGAGGCAACTTTGACCTGGGTGATATGAGGTTCTGCCTCTCAGCATCGCATGAGGCTCGGGCTTTTATACTAACTAAAATGCACACTCATTCTGACACAGGGGGCCAGTCTACATTGGAAGAAGTGGCCAGCTGTATCTGGAAAGGTATCTAAGGGTCGGGACTTTTCCAGGGAGGAGCCAAAGCAGGACCTTCCAGGGAGGAGCCAAAGTGGACTTTCTGGGGAGGAGCTACCACAGGCAAACAGTACTTTTGTATTTTTGTGTGTTCCACCACGGACCATTATCTAGCGTCACTGGCACAGTGATCATTCCTGTTTCCCTCAGTAATGAAGACAAAATTCATAGAAATAAGTGAAGATTGACTTCTGGCCCTAGTAATAGAATTAAAGCCCTGAACTAGATAAAGTAAAACATGTTGCACAACAGGAATTACTATTTACTAGTTATTTTACTAATTACTAGTAATTATTATTAAAATGACTTCTATAATTTTGTATGCCATTTTCCATGCTCTTTATTCATCTTATAAATGTTATTAATACATTTTTTTTTCCTCCTAAAATTTGGCCTCCACTTTTCAAAACCTCTGTAAAATTAGCATTGTGGTTTACCTTTCAATTAAATTCTTGGAAAATCAAGTGAAATGAATCTCAGGCTACTCATGGTTACACATGTTGTTTTTCTTGCTGTGACTGAACTGTTGAGCTGAAGGAACATTGAAATGTCAGCATGCTTCTTGCTTATAAATAAAGAACAGGCATGTAGAGTGAGTGGTGTCAAGAGGGGAATGAAAAATCATGTCCACATATAACCCTATATTTTTTGTGTATAAACCCCATACAGCTCTACTCAATATTGACATGTAATTTCTGCAGTGTAATCCAAATCACGTTCAAAGGATGGACAATTTTTATTACCATTCATCCTTGTCAGGATCACTTGAACAGCGCATGTAACTGAACTCTTCAAGAGGCAATCTTCTTCTGTGCAGTTATATCAGAATACAAATAGCGAACCCAGAAGAAATAGGAAAAACAGAAGTTCATGGCCCTCCCTCCTGAGAAAGAAAACTGAACAGATTCTACTGAGCCAAGTAAAAAGGTTTTAAAATTATGCCCACTGGACTTAATTTTTGATTTGTCTAATGTCTTGTTTTCAGAGTCCCATCACATGAATCTTTATATATTGAAAATATTCTTTAAAAGGCCTCCCAGTTCTCATACTACCTGGCTGATACACACATGCTGCTTGAAAGCTTATTTCAAGCGAGAACTTCTGAGACTCACCTTTACTAAAGACTAGTAAGGAATCAGGAGAAATGGTCAGATCAGAAACCATCTACAGGGACTATCCTGAAAAGCTTTTAATCGGTGAAGGACTGTGACATGGTCACCAGTGAGGACAAGCAGTTTAAGGAACAGGGAGGTAGAAGCAAGTGAGCCAGGAAGCAAGGGGTAGCAGGAGAAAAGTGGGGGTCAGGACAAACTTGCTATACATTCTAGTTTATTTCTGGCTTCTAAATATCCCAAACACTTGCCAATCCTTAATAACTTAATCCAGGAAATAAAATGAATGAAAAGATACTCTGAGAAATTTGTTATTTCACAGAAATTCTGGCCTTATAGCACAGTTCTCATGCTTACACTGTCAACTACACATTTGATTAATTCCTCACTTTTGTCCCAGTTACATTGCTCTTTTGTTGGCTACAATAAAAAGTTATGTTTATATATTTATTCTCTATATAGTATTTTTGCACAATTATGAAAAGCCCATATGGTTGACACTGATAGCAAGGAAGTTCTATGGTTTCACCACAGCCTCCAGTGTCATGTCTTCTGCATCTCTCCTTTTAGTTTTGGGAATAAGTTCAGCGATGAACTGAAACAGTGAAGGCAGAGCTGTATCACCACAGTGCTTCCTGGCAAGTGAGCCTCATGGATATTACTTAGGACATCTCAATAAAAGTGAAGCAGTTCTTGTGCACTTTAAATGTCTTTGCAAGAGTGCTCTACTGACTTTATGCTTGCTAAGATAGTTGGAGTATTCTGGAATTGGTGGAGTCCTTGTTGGTGACAGTATAAAGGTACAAAGAGTAAAAAGGCTGTTTATTCACAGGCCTTTTGCAAAACATGGCAAATGGGAGCTGTCAGAAACAAGAACTTCAGCACCAGTTGGAAGCTAGTTCAGACAGCTGAGCAACCCAGGATGGGAGGAACACAGAGATGGTTTAAAGTTAGTCATGCTTATCCTCCCCTAAGGCTGTGAATTCAGTCCTCCTGCTTCTAGACATGCAGTGTAAAAATTCTCCTGTAGTCCTGCTGCATTGTTTACTTAATTTGGTTGGCTCCCTTCTGCATCAGGATTGGGTTTCCTCATTTAAAAAAACAGCAGAAATATGAGTGCTTCCCCTAAGTTCCAAGCAGGCACAGGAGCTTGGCACAGGTATTTCTGCACACTTATTTTAATCTGATGAGGACATACACTCTAAGGAATTAAAATCAAAACAATGGATTCTTTCTGCCAGCTTCAACTGGTTTTGGATCAGGCATGTAAGTCCCCACATCATTCACAGAACACATACATGCAGTGTTCAAGCAATCCAATGGAAAAGCTATGAATTTTCCAGACCGGCAGATTGATTTAATGAGATCACATTTATGGGGCAATAAAGCTATTCCATTTCAGTCCTTTGCCTCTCTTCTAATGAACAACAGGGCTGCCAGTTTCTGCCAGCTGTGGGAAATTCTAAGATGTGAATATTTATCCATTAGGATGTGAACAGAGAATATTAAAGTTTCAAAAAGCTGTGTTTCAAAGAGAAAGAAATGAACACCTGCATAATTTCATAGCAATTTGTTAAATATAAGACCAAAAGGAAATCAAGCCAGCTTCCTGGAGCTGGTACAGTGAAAGTGGCTAGCTTTTTTGAGCCTTAGTATACTGTTCACAGAATTTATCACATTCAATTCTTTTATGACAGACAGTATAACTTCATGTTTGTGTGTGATTGAGAGCTATACCAAAATGTGTTCCTGAAGAGTTGTATTGTATTGAGCAATTTTTCACTTTACACTTCAATAGATTTGCTATTGTGTGTATAGTGTCCACAAAATACCTATTATAAATAACAGTATTGGAGATTCACCGCTGCCTGAAGGTTGTATGAGATTCTGTGTATATTCAGAATGAGATTTTTGCAGTCAAGACAGCAGAAAAAGAAATTTGAGCTTAATAACATGAAAAGAAAAATAACATGAGAAGAAAAAGAACAAACAGTACAGATAATTGAAGCAGGAAAATCAAGACAGGAGATTATTTCAATGCAAAAACTGAATCTGAGGTGAGAAAGGGCAGAACACTGGGTTGCTGAATGCGATACTAACTTCTGTGCCTCTCAATTTCTTGTTCTTTAACTGGATCTGGCCATGACCTCCACCTTTTTGCAAGGGTAGTAGCAGGAGTCCTGCTCCTTCTAATCTGCTTGTCCTGACTAAACCAGAATATTAGTGAACAGGAAATGCTGTGAGGAACTACATGTAGTAAAGTGACAAAGTGAGATAGAGTGCCTGGACTAAAGAGTTTATTAGCTTGATTACACCAACACAAAGAGCTTCCAACTCAGACTGGGCCATTTAGATGCACTGTTCCTATGCTGAAGAGCTTACTGTCAAAACATATATGGAAAAAAAAACAACACGAAACAAAGCAATGACAGAAGTAAAAAAAAGAGGGAAAAAATACAATGCACATAGAAACTGAAATACAGAAAAGTGAAATGGCATTTCACCAGGGATGGCAGAAGCAGGGAATTAACTCTGTCTCTCTAGGGCTCTAACCTTGCTAGTTTAACGATGGTACCCAAAGTCTTTAGTGGCAAATGACAGGAAAACTGGGAAAACTACATTTGAGTCCTCTAGGCGCTTTCTGTTTGGGAACAGATGGATTCTGGATATAACTAAATCACCTGAGCACTATGATAAATACACAGAATCTGCTTGGCTTACTAATTTCTGGAAAACAGAACAAGAGGAAAGGAAGACAATGTAAAAGTAGTTACTTACACTTCCCTGTCTTGATTCTAAGGTTGATTTGGTTTTATAGGTCTTTTCCCCTTGTGAATAATTTAGATACACAAGGAAGAAAAGGTCCCTTTCTCAGGATATAGAGAGTATTAAAGACATTTCTACATTTCAAAAACACTGAGGGATGTTGTTTGTTTTAAACATGTCAGTTTTGGACACCTAGGGTCTCAAAAGCAGAGCGAGACCAGATAGGTGAAAAGCATGCAAATAAATTCAGGCCTGTTATATGATGCCATTGTAAAAACAAAGAAACAGTGGCATTTCAAGAATAGCCATGGATCGTATTTGGAATTCGGCAGCATAAATAATCTTCTGTACAGCTCTGTGGCAGCTTTATTGCAGCCATATCTGAAATACAGTGCACTGGCATTTCCAGCCATTTAGGAAGAATGCAGAATTAAAATAATGGTAAATGGCAATGAAGTTATACAAAAATTTCAGGGAAAAAATCACAACACTGGGTACAAGTTGGACATTTCAGTATCTCCATGTGAAGGAAATAATTCAGTTAATTACTAAACACCTGAGCTGACTGTTACAGGATCTGGTTTAGTTTGCAGTTCAATTCATCATCTTAACAGTTAACTCTTACAAACTAGAGCTAACCTAGCTTTTGCTAACTGTATGCTCCTGCAAAAATAATTTGCTTGTGTGCAGACCTGGTATAGTGCCATCCAGCAGAAAATGTGTTGGTGCTTTCTCACTGTCTACTGCTCTAAATCTCACTCTTCAGCCTTCTGGTAGGCTCGAGTATTTCAGCTGCCTGTGTTAGGTGTCAAACCCTGCTGCACTGCAGCACTCACCAGGTTTGTACAGGGCACTGATCAGCATTCAAGGGACCTTTATGCTTCTGCTACAACAAATAAGATACAGAGGAGAATCTTGTGCTGCCTGCATCATGCTTCAGGCAGCCTTGCTTTCTTTCACATTCCAGCCTCTAGCGATTTGGTAAGAATCCCTGTTCTTTAAAAATAGTTTCATTGTATTGCAATATTATCACTTGCAACTTCAGCTATGGTTTTAAGCCACATCTCTAGTGTTGCCCTTGCTTGCACTGACTGCTGTAGAAATACTTCAGAAAATGAGGCCATTTTTAATCTCCTTTTATACTGGTTTAGTTCCCAAGCTGTTTAGAAACCTGAGCTGTTTCTTATCCAACTTCTTTCTGAGCTCTTGCTTTATACTGTTTTACAGTCCCTCCTTCCCACCTTCTTTCTCAATCTCCTGTTCATAGTAAATTTACTTGTAATATTCCTAAATGGGGGTCTATAGATGTGGCATTCAGAGCTTCCTAATATATATTACTGTTTGGTTAATTAGGACATTGTCACTGTTACCTTCTTGGCAGAACTGGTTAGCACTTTTAACAGCAGATTCTGTTTTAAAACCAAAGGTGCCCAATGGCTGAACATCCTGGAAAATACTACTTTAAGCAGTTTTGTCCCTTGTTATAATAATAATCTCCATTAACAAAAATATTAAAATGCTGTAGAGATTCTCTGGAACAATGTTAACGGACATGGCCAAAGGTCAGCACCTGTTTTAGTTCACATCAATGATGGATTTTTATTTTAGTAAGAGCAAGCTGTTTAATTTTTAACAACCCTGCTTCCCCTCTGTCTCCCAGCAAACCCAGGAGTGCATATAGGAGAATACTGAAAGGAAAACAGGCAGCAAAAATTTTGAGCTTGTTTCCAAGCAAGCCAATCCCTCCTCTTTTATTCACCTGAATGAATGAATTTCCTTTGGTTTGGACTTGGATTTTTGAGATTTCTTTCAAACAGAAGGTATTGTTTATACAGAAAATAGTGTCATTTTGAAGCCCTCACTGTATTTTGTGTAGCACCTGATCGTCACTGTCGTGGTTTAAACCAAACCAGACAAGTCGTTCACTCACTTCTCCCCCCCCCCCCTTGCCCTCCCCCTACTCCCGGAGGGATGGAGAGGAGAGTCAAAAAGAATGCAACTCCCATGGGTTGAGATAAGAATAGTTTAGTAACTAAGGTATAACACAAATCACTACTGCTACCACCAATAATAACAATGATAAAGGAAATAACAAGGGAAGAGAATACATCACCTCACCACCAGCCAACCAATAACTCGCCCCCCAAGCCCGACCAAGCACCGACCCATA